GGGGAGTAGGGGGGACGGGGGAAAGAGGGGGAAGAGGGTGAGACCACGCAAGCCCAGGCTCGGGTCTCACCCAACCCTCCACTCGCCTGGGCTCTGCTTCCTTCTGACCCATTTGTTTCTTTAAACGTAAGTAACAGAAAGTAACAGTGATACTTCAGCCCTGACTTGTGGGCTAGACCCAGGTGCCCAATCAAAAAATATATACAGAACTTACAAAAAGATAGCTGGAGAAAGAATTCAAGATAGTGCACCCCCTGAGTTCTAATGCCCTCACCTGAAAACAGCAACTCGTGGTGCTCAGCAAATCCCTGAAAAGAAAAGTGATTCCATTTCTGTATCTCTGTCTTTCTCCCTCTAGCTGTCCCCTCCCCTCTTCCCCACTCAAGAAAAGAGATAAAGTGGATGCAAGCCAGAGAAAGATGTGATGTTACATAAGGAATTTCCAGCCAACGTGCAGAACAATTCTTGTACCTCTAAGAAGATTGGTTTATTTCTATGCAAAATAGCTGCTTTACTCAAAATGCAGTGTCTAGCCCATTATAACCTCTTAGTAAATACTCTTTTGAACACGTAACGCCTCCACCTGATACCCCTTGGATCCTACCTATGACCTGTTCACTGAAGCAGCATCATTTTTACTGAGAGCATTCACCCACATCTTTGGACTTGGGGGTGTGAATAAGTGGCTGTGATGTGTGGTATGAAATCTGCGTAATTCAATTAACTCTAACGATCATGTCTTAACTTCTTCAAAACCCCACTGCTTCTCCTTCACAGCCTGTATAGGGATCATGAGAATTTCTGGCAGAGGTTGGAGGTTGGCCTCAGATACATGCTGGGAGCCAGGTTTTTCAGAGACTCAGCAGGCATCAAGCATGTGGTGAGAACCGTCTATATTTTAGTTGGACATTAATCATTTTCAGGAGAAATGGCTTTGAGTTTAATATGTGGTGACATCATGTTCATCTCTTGGTGTAGTGTCACTGCTCTAACTTCAGTGCACACAATATTTGATGTCATTCCTATAGAGCAATACAGCCCAAGTTGGTCATCACCAAACTTTGTTACCCCACTTCCCTGAGAAAAACAGAATTGACTCAAATGTTCTACCAGTTACCTCTTGAGAGAAATCAACACATCAAAGCAGATAAATAAAAAGGTATGAAATCACACTCAGTTGCCCTGCAATGACTTAGAGACACAGAGAAACATAGGTGGGGAAAGGACATTTACTTTTAAAGGTGTGGGTGGTTTGGCACAGGGGTATTATAAAGGATATTGCAGCGCTCACTCAAACTGTCTTCTCCCCACCAAATTACCATGTTATCTGATACCCTCAATCTGTTTGTGTCCTGGGTAACAGACAGTTTGACCAAGAGGTCATCGACCAGAGGGCTTGGGTGACTACAAACAAGTTTGACAAGAAAGGAATCTGGGTGGGGTGCCACCGTGGAGGTGGAGAGAGGATGAGACCACGGTGACGGGACCATCCCGGCAACCCCAAATCTGTGCTGAACCATTCACAAGCAAAGCCTTTTCAGAGAACAGGAGGAAGAGCTGTCAACATAGCTTCATGGATGGGAGAAATTACATCTCTCCACATGCTTTTCCCTTCCCATTATTTCTTACTTTCTTCATTTCCTCCTCCCCCCCCCCTTCTGCCACCTCAGTAGGCTCTCCCGAGAATTCTGCCTGCCCCTGGATTATCTCCTGCTTGTTTCCTCTTTGGAATTAAGGCTTCAAGATTATTTTTAGTGTTTACTCTTCGAGATATGAAACGTTGTTTTATCCAAGCAAGGGTCTACCTGTAAACTATTTGTATTCATAACTATGGAGTGCTTGTATGATTAATAAAGGTGTTAGGCCCAATATGTAAAGCATGCAATATTGGAACCTTTTTTTTCATCTCAGGAGAGGGACTGCACGTTCTTTAATAAAGTCCCACTGCACACTGGACATCCTGGAAGTGGACAGCATTACCCGTGGCATCAAGACCACCAAAGTGGTAAATCTCAGTTTAATTTACTACTCTCAACTTGGAAGTTCCTCCCCCACATGAAACTATGACCTTGGATGGGTCAATATTTTGTGTTCCAAGAGAAAATAGATACAGTGCTATGTAGAGATTATGTGATAACGTGAGTTCCTTTCTGCATCTTTCCATAATAAAGGTACTTTATTTTTCTTGTGGTTTATCTGATTGTTATTGGCTCAACAGAATTTTCTGGTGATTTTTTCCTTGTATGGGTTGGAAAACACCTTCACTGCCAACCTGCAACTTTTTCACATTAGAACATGATAGACAGTCACCTTCCTCCACAGAAGAGCTTCCACATTTCCACTCTTCTTTGATTCTTTTTCCTTTCTAATGTCCTTCAACATCTCTCTTTAGAGGTCATTCTAAATCTGACAATTCTCTCCTTTTTTACTTTTTATGTTTCATTTCTGAGCACTCATTGTTCTCACATCTGAAAACTATCCATTGCCCATGTTACTCTTTTGTCAACCACCATTTGGAATGGTTTAATATGAGTTAAGATTTTGGGGTCATTTTCTTTTAAGCTTTTTGTGGGAGCCTGGCACAATACCTGGTAAATAGTTAATGTTCAATAAATGACTATCAATCAAACAATATAATTAAAATCTTTGCTCACAAAAATCAAAATTCAAATACATTAAAATTGATTGAATTGACATGGATTAAATATCAAATTAATTCCAATTAATTTCTATTCTTTTTCTCAACAAATCAGACATGTAAAAGAATTCTGTAACAGAAATTTTATCTTAATCTTTTTATCATCTCTACCATCATCTTTACTGCATCAGAGCAGTTTTAGGGTGATGAATTATATCATTCATCATTTTTAGTAGGATGGTCAGGGTTCATAAGATACTGGACAAATGTGTATATAGCTTGGGGAATGTGTGTGATGAGGAAGACAGAGAGGAGATGTGTGTGTGTGTGTGTGTGTGTGTGTGTGTGTGTGTGTGTAGGGGGAGACACATATATGACAGAAGTTTTCAGCTTACAGTTGTCAAGGATCATTTTACTTGTTAAAGATTATGATCTCTATGGGCCAGTCAGGTGGTGCAGTTGGTTAGAGCACGAGCTCTGAGCAACAGGGTTGCTGGTTTGATTCCCATATGGGTCAGTGAGCTGCACCAGAGCTGAGCTGCCGCTGAGCTGCCAACGGATGGCCAGGTGGCTCAGCTGTACAAGGTTGCCAGGCTGCCCCCCCCCAAAAAAAAACTAGATTGAAAGTGGCGACTGGACTTATAGCTGAGCTTGCGCCATCCACAACTAAGATTGAAGGACGACAACTTGACTTGGAGCTGATGGGTCTTGGAAAAACACAATGTTCCCCTTCCCCAATTCCCCAACAATGTTCCCTTCCCCAATTCCCCAATAAAATCTTAAAAAAGAAAAAGAAAGGATTGTAATCTCCAATCCTCAGAATTATTTTACACTTAAAAAATTTTACTCTTCACAATATACAGTGAAATACAGTGCATTAAAATATACTATGGGCAAAATTGTTTTTTTTCATTTTTGTAGCTAGAGAAACAAAAACGTGAGTTAAAAATGCTAGTCAACTAAAAAGCAACAAAAAAGTATTAACCCAATTAGACTTTGATTAAAGTCATAGACCAAACGAATCATAGTTATTTTTATTTCTGCTAATTGTTGACCAATAAGCCTCAAATACTTTTTATTAATTTCTTGGAGGCAAAATATTCCTTAGGTCACTTAGCCCATCTACTCCCACTTTCCACATGCTACCACAAGCAATAAACACATATTATCAGAAACAATGGGAATAGTGGCATTACCTTTGATAAGACCACTACAAAGCATTTGATAAATCTTTTATTTTTAAAGATTTTTATTGGGGAATTGGGGGATGGGAACAGCTCTGGGAATTGGGGGAAGGGGAACAGACAAGTTGCTGTCCTTTTGTTCTTCAGTCTAGTTGTGGAGGACGTTGCTTCACTGGC